AGGCCATAGCTGTTAGGTGGAGGCCATAGCTGTTAGGTGGAGGCCATAGCTGTTGGGTAGAGGCCATAGCTGTTTGGTGAAGGCCATCGCTGTTAGGTTGAGGCCATAGCTGTTAGGTGGAGGCCATAGCTGTTGGGTAGAGGCCATAGCTGTTTGGTGAAGGCCATCGCTGTTAGGTGGAGGCTATCGCTGTTAGGTGGAGGCCATCGCTGTTAGGTTGAGGCCATCGCTGTTAGGTGGAGGCCATCGCTATTAGGTGGAGGCCATCGCAATTGGGTGGAGGCCATAGCTGTTAGGTGGAGGCCATAGCTGTTGGGTAGAGGCCATAGCTGTTTGGTGAAGGCCATCGCTGCTAGGTGGAGGCCATCGCTGTTAGGTTGAGGCCATCGCTGTTAGGTTGAGGCCATCGCTGCTAGGTGGAGGCCATCGCTGTTAATTAGGTTGAGGCCACCGCTGTTAGGTGGAGGCCATCGCTATTATAGGTGGAGCCCATCGCTGTTAGGTGGAGGCCATCACTATTATAGGTGGAGCCCATCGCTGTTAGGTGGAGGCCATCGCTATTACAGTGGAGGCCATCGCTATTAGGTGGAGGCCATCGCTATTGGGTGGAGGCCATAGCTGTTTCGTGGAGGCCATCGTTGCTAGGTGGAGGCTATCGCTGTTAGGTTGAGGCCATCGCTGTTTGGTGGAGGCCATCGCTATTAGGTGGAGGCCATAGCTGTTGGGTAGAGGCCATAGCTGTTTGGTAAAGGCCATCGCTGTTAGGTGGAGGCCATCGCCGTTAAGTTGCCATCGCTGTTAGGTTGAGGCCATCGCTGTTAGGTGGAGGCCATCGCTGTTAGGTTGAGGCCATCGCTGTTAGGTTGAGGCCATCGCTGTTAGGTGGAGGCCATCGCTATTAGGTGGAGGCCATCGCTGTTAGGTTGAGGCCATCGCTGCTAGGTGGAGGCCATCGCTATTTGCGAGTGGATCTTAATCAGCGAAGTTTGAAGCTATCACTGACGGTCCATAAGCGGCGTAGCGTCGGAACGGAAACCGCACCTTTTCTAGTCGCTTGATCCTTGAGCCAAAGTACATATGGTACATATATATGTACAAGTTGCACTGTACGTGTCGCTGCACTTCCATTCGCACCCCCCATGTGAACGGCAACAATATGTTCCGATCACACACGAAAATTTAGGGATGTAAGTGCTACAAAAGAAATTGTATGATTTGCCGCGAGACTCATATGAGGCTCATACTACGAAACATGCTGGACTAAAGCGGACTTTTACATATAAAGTGTGCAACTATGGCTCAGAACCTATGAAAATCGAATTGAACAAGTGAGACAGTCACGAGGCCTCGCTCAGTATCCACTCAAAAGAGCATCGCTTTGATGTAGATCCGAACTGGTGACTTCCACGTAGATGTCACATCGGCAACTGACTTCACACTTCTCAAAAGATGTAGGTTTTTGATTTGGATACACTTACAGAACGGCAAGTCGGAGAGACAGTCGGTGACTGTCTGCCTTCCATTATGCTCATGGTATCATCATAGTCGTTCAAAGAAATCACCACTGGCGATAACCTCTCCATCCACGATGATCCCAGCTGCCCTGAGCATCCCGCCGATCATCTTCTCCCTTCTTGGACTTTCCTTTGGACTTGCTCTTTCCCTTCCCCTTTTCAAAAGGTTGAGGTACTTCGCGACGTTCTTGCGTTAGCGCCGGCCTCCAAGATGTTCCAGATTGGCCTCCTCCTTTGGAATGTCCTCGGGATGATGAAGAAGTTGTACCTTCTGCTGCATGTGCGTTGGCGGCAAGATCTTCCTGCAAAGCTTGCTCAAACACATCGGTAGCACTGGATGGTGATTTATCATGTGGTCTGGCTTTTGGAGCAGCCTTCGCCTTGTTCTCCTCTGCTGATGAGGGCCCGAGACTCTTAGGTGCTCTTGCAGGTTTTGGCTCCTCACTTGGTGCTGACGACGGCTTGGCCTCGGTTCTGGGTGTAGATGCTGGCTTTGCCTCAGCTCTTGACGAAGATGCTGCTTTCGCTTCAGACTTAGTCGTTGATGTTGACTTAGCTGTTGCCTTGGCTGCCTGCTTCTTCTTGCCCTGAATCTCCTTGGCCCTATCTCCAAAGCCTAGACGATTGGTAAGAGCTTGAACATGCTTATGTTCTACCACGCTCATCCATCTCTCTGTATGTCCAACGTTGGGGTTTCTGGCCATTGACTCTATGACTTCCTGAGCTTGTGGGGGCAACCTGATCTCATGTTGATCAATGATCAACAGAATAGACTTCTCCCACTTGCTCTTCATTCTCGAGTACATGATGTCCAGAGGATCGATCACCTTGTGGTAGGGTGATGTAACGTCGGTTCTAAAGTAAGAATATGTCCGACACCCATAAATCGCATGGATGCACTTCTGTACCAATTCAGTCATTGCGCTGGCTTTCTTCGCTTTCAACTCCTCAAGCTGGGCATCAGTCAAGTTGGTGGGGTATTCGAAGTTGCCATATTCCTTCTTGAAGGATTGCGGAGTATGACCAAATGATAGGATCACGAGTGCCACCTTGCAAATGAATTGTTCTCCTCTGAATCGGTGCCAGGCCTCCTCAGTTGTAATATTGTTGTCGTTGGCAAAGATTAACATCATATCATCTGTTGGATCCAATGGTCTCCCATCGTCATCGATTTCAGTGGAATCCCCTGTACCGAACTTGCTTATCACATCCAGTCGCTTCCTTTTCCAATTTGCTTTGAAGTCGGTAAGGCTGGTGCAATAGTAGCTCTTGTACATCAGGGAGATCATGTTCAGCACACATTTGACCACATACCTATCCATCAAACCCGATGCATTCATGGAGACGTCCTGACAGTAGGCTCTCTCTTGATGCGCATAGATTCGAGGTTCCGGTACTCGACAATAGATGGGGAGATCTTCGTTGTCTCTTCCTTCTTCGGGATTGAACTCGGTCGCTCCATGCTGTGCATAGTATCCCGGTTCATCACGATCTGTCGGTCGATTCGCCTCCGGATGTAAGTCGTCGGTGACGTCTTCATCCTCGGGTTCACCATCTTGACGTTTCTTCCCCTCATATTGTTGTGTGCTCCTCTGGATCTCGATGATCACGTTTCGTTCGTCTTCATCTTCTAGATCAGAATCACGACCGTAGTCGATCTCGTCCTCATTGAAAGATGGGGTCTCGACATTGTCACTCTTGAAGTTTTCTGCACCATCAGACGGTTTGGAAGGATCTAGATTGTCCATGTCCTCGTCGTCGTCAGCTGCTTCAGTTTGAGCGATGTCTTCTTCCCAAGCCTTTCTGATCTCGTCCATAGTGGCCTGGTCCAAGATACCTTGATCATCATCTTCAGGCTCCTTCTCTTCCTTCTTTTCCTCTTCATCGTCGCTCACAAGATCAACGGGTGAATCGGAAATGACAGTGTTGCGAATACCACACGAGAGTAGCCTGCCTTGACAAGATAGACACACGGACAAAGATGAAGAAGTCAAATGCATACATGATGGACACAAAATATTGCCATCCACGTTGCGATACCCTTCACATGTTCTGGAGATGATTTCGTCCCAAGTTTCCTCACTGATGGAATCCTCGATCAGCCCTCCATTGTCATCGAATTGTACTTCATCGATAAGGGACACGAGCTTTTGGACGTTGTCATCTGTCGCCGAGGCTGACTTCGTGACTTCGTCGGCTCTCTCAAGGATGGTATGCTTCTGAGCAACCCAAAGTCCATGACGTGCCGCTAGAACAACTTGCTCTCCAGTGCTTCCCAGCAGGAGTCTCCTCCATGCCTGAACGTAGTCGTCCCAATACCAAGCACCTCGTACACATCTCCATGGAACTTCTCTAAAAACAACAGTGTAGGAATTCTCCGAAATTCTCCCCCCAAGCTTCCTCAAAGTCATGATTGGAACATAAAGGCAAACGGGCATTCCCACTCTTGGCCATCTTGATCTCAGAATCTTTGATGATCGATCATCCCACGGCGCAAAGTGGTTGAAGAA